CCCCAATCGGAGACTGCCTGTATTGTGAGATTCACACGCTCTACCATAGCTTCTCTTTCAAACTGGATTTGATCCCGACTGGCCCGAGGGTTTGTTTGGTATTTCTCAACAACTGTGCTGTCGTCTGCATACCCATAGATACCGGGCATAAGCAGATCATTAATATGCAGCAGGAAGAGAGTTGCAGAGAAAACGGACCCCTGAGGAACACCGGCGTTAGTCGCCATAGGATCGGATGAGCAGCCTTTGACGACGACCCGGAGAGACCGTTCACTCAGAAAGTCCTTTACCCATTCAATCAGACCAGGGGATAAGCCGTACGCTGGAAGCTTAGCCAAAAGACTGTGCATGTACCAAACTCTGTAAAAGGCCTTCGAGACATCAAGGGATACAGCAAGTGCTTCCCCACTGTTCTCGAGTGCCTCGCCCCATACGTGTGTGGCATACTCTAGAAGGTCCCCAGATAACCGATTTCGGCGAAACCCATATTGCCGGTCACTAAGGAGGTCATTCTGTTCTAGTTATGCCATTAAGCGGGCATTCAATATACGCTCACTAATCTTGCAGAGTATGGAGGTAATTGAGATTGGCCGATAATTGGTAGGGTCGGCGCGGCTGCCTTTTTTTGGAACAGGCTGCACGTTTGCCAGCTTCCAGGATTTTGGCACTATTCCAGTACTAAATTAGAGGCGGAACAAGCGTGTCAACACAGGAAACAACTCAGGTGCATAAGCCTTTAGGACTATAGCTGGTATACCATCTGGTCCACTAGATTTATTCACGTCTAGACACCGCATGGTTTTAAGAACCTCCTTATTCGTTATACGAATCTCCGACATAGAGGTCCCGCAGTGAGGTAATTTTGGTGGAACGTTGTTGCCACTGTCCAGACATGAATGGTAGACAAAGAGAGACGCAAACAAGTCCGCTTTCTCCTCAGCCGTATGCGCCAGTGTATCATCTGGTTTAACCAGCGGAGGCAGTGTAGGCCGACAGAAGTTTGTCTCGACCACTTTGGCGAGAGACCAAAAAGCTCTAGTGCCGGATGGTCTGGCAGAGAGTTTTGCGCCAATATGTTTAATGCGATCGAGACTAGCTTTCCGTAATGCTTTTTTGTAGGACTTGGTGGTCTGGGTGAAAGTTCTCTTCTTGGAGCTAATATCCCGAACATTGCGGTTTCGAACGTCAACCCACGATAGGTAAGCTAATGCTTGCGCTTTTCAGCTTGGGCGCATTCAGCGTTAAACCATGGGCGAGCTTTGCTACCAGAGCATACGTGGTAGAGTCATGCTGCAGCTATATTAGTAGTATAGTTGTAACACGAATGGGTCGGCTCGACCGGGGAAGGACCACGCTCTCACAGAATACCAGTGTCAAATAGCAGCTTACCACTGCTGTGTTTTGTATGTTGAGTGCAGAGAACCGGAGACCCCTTTTTACTGGAAACGAGGTATTCCATCATAGTCCTCACGGGTGGCAACGCATCTGCATTTTGATTCGCAAACGAGGATAAATGTAGATGTCTATGGGTCACAGCAACCACTTACCATCAGGTGGACTGTGTCGAGCACACAGTCCACAGTGTTTGGCACCCTTTACTAAAAATAAAGTGGGAGCGTCAGAGAAGGGGCTAAAGTACTCCATAGCTTGACGCAACACATCCGTTATCGCAACCGCGCAGCTTGACGGATCCGCAAAAGAGAAACAGACCTCCCGCCAAGGATAAGATGCAAATAAGTGTCGCATCTCATCCCAATCAGCTGACTTATACCGCCATATTCGCCGAACAACTTGAGACTCGTAATCAGGTGGACAATATGACGATATAGATTTCACCAGACAGTGGTTAGATGTACCCAAAGGAGAAGTAACCTGTACTTCATATCTGTCTGGTTCGGTAGTCAGCAGAAGGTCCAAGCAATTTGCTGTGTGACCGTCTACATCGGGTACCCTATTCGCCACCTTTACCATCTGAGAAAGACCTAGCGTTAAAGCAAAATTCCACGCTTCTCTTCCAGCATGGTCGGTCTTTCGGTATGGGAACAACCAGTCTTGGTGATAAGCGTTAAAGTCCCCCAAAAAGACCAACTGTGCAGTAGGATATCGATTTAGGGCAACGTCAGCAGCCTCACTAAGGTGATCAAATAATCGTGTTGTCTCCTGGTCGCCGCTGTGCGTTCGATAGACACAGGCATAAAGGATTTTATCAATACCTGTATCTACCATCGAAAAAGTTAGAAGATCCCGCTATCCTCCACGACCAAGCACCCGACACAGCAACAATTGACGCTTCGTATACAGTTTACATGCACAAAGCGACTGTTCAGACCCATTCTCCATATGGCTTCACCAAGCATCATGCCGGAACACGACAAAGTCATTTGGCGGCAAGACTTTGCAAGACTTTGGAGGGTGGTAACCGAAAAGCCAGCGGCCGAAACCTACCACCGGAATTGGTGCTGCTCGTTTAGCACTACCCGGGGGGCACGTGTAGGGTGTCAGATTTCAAGTATTTCCTACGGACGCGAGCAGCCACGCCCCCCAAAGTTCGTCAGTTGTAAACGACTCCATCTTGTTCACTATGCTAACACAAGCACAGATGTGTACCAAGCTCCTCCACCTTTCAGCGGGGGAGGTGTGTGCCTACGATATGCACCTATACACCTAGAGCGTTTGTACGCTAGGACGTGTACCTTGCTGTTGCCTAATGTAACAAGCAACACAAGAATTAAAAACGATGGCCGCCTCTGAGGTGGCGGGTGTGTTACACTCTACTTGCGGTGGCCGTTACCAGTACCAGGAAGCCAGGAAGGAGAGTTACGGACAAAACATTCTTTGCACTACAAGAAGCGTTCACTATACTTGAAAGTGAGACTGCTATCACTCGGGGCAGCATGCATTGCGTACCACAATAAGAGCACCAAGGCAGTAACCAACAACAAAGCACCAAGAGATGCAGTGTATTCTAGTAAGTAATAAAACATGGTTAGATAAATAATGCGCAGGGGCAATGAGGATAGAGTGACGAGAGTGAACTTAACCGACACGTCCGGAGTGTACAAAGCCCAAGCGCAGAATCTCTGTGGTGTGTAATCTCTGTAATTCTACGAATCTCACTGTCGTCACTTTGCCCGTTGGGGTATTCTACTAGTGTAGGCAAGGAAGATCGTGTTGCTGAAAGACTGTCCTGTGTTACATTGAGGTGGGTAGTGTTGCTTTTGATTTGCGTACTTTGGTGTTATCATGTAATTGGGGGTCCTGATAGTAAGCAGGGTTTTTTTAATTTCTAACTTCCGAAGTGGAATAGTTTGTTACACTATAATAATTCGGACTTGTTTGAAGTACGAATAGTTAGCTCGTAAATTTGTTAAATAGGCATTAAATGCACCTTTTTTCCATTAGCTAGTTATTAATGTTGACAAAACTTATTTATAGAAGTGGGATTTGAACCGACGCTCACAAAGAGGACCAAAAAACATCCGAATCCGTATCAATGGGCTGTAAAATTAAGAGTCAGGCGCCTTAGACCACTCGGCCTTATTGACAGTTGCACTTGCACATGATGTTAAATCTACGGCTTACAAGGAAAAACACAAAATGACAATAAAAATAAAACAATATTATAATTTATAATCACTTCGACGTGACGAAATGTCTATTTCACAGACTATACTTTGGAAAATGTTTTCATAATTCAATACGTTTTTGAGGGATGAATTTGTAGATATGAGCATTGTGACGTAGTTTTTTTTTCTGTCTTTTTTTGTTGTTGTCTCTTATTAGAATAGAATAGAATTGAATAATTTTTTATTCAATATAGATCACATGTGTAATTCTTATTGAAATTCATTTTATACTTTACCACTGGTTCGAAAAAAACCCTCTGTCCTGGGAAGAACCAGCAAGTAACCCAGCGGGACTTTTTAACTTTCTACGCACGGTAATTTTCGACGGCTCCGTGGCGCAGTGGCTTAGCAATCAGTTGTTGCGCTGGGGGCCGCAGGTTCGAATCCCGCACGGAACAAGTATTTGTATGGCCTACAAAAAATTTTTTCGGGTCTGGATGTTTGTCCTTGTGCAATTTATGTTTGTAAACTGCCTCCACGACACAGGAGAAAATCCTAGTGTGGGGGTAACGTTTTTTTTAAAAAAAGTAAGGAGTAAGAGTAATGGTATTTGTGTTAAATTGATTACACATATTATATTATCTAATGCTGTGAGACCATAGTTGGTAAAAGTCATTACGCATAATATTGCCCTAAATTTGTTTCTATTTGTGCAAGATTTTACAAATAACATACTACAAAATTGCGGCTAACGGAGACGAGCCATCTGTGCAGGACAGGAAAATAGTGTCAGAGTGTATGCGTAAGCACAACTACGCTCTTTACACCTTCATTATCATGTTCGATGGGACGTCAATCCGACACGACTGCAGAAAAATCAGGCGCGGGACCAATGGCATTATGTTCTTTCCGAGTCAAGGGAGTGAAACACTGCCAACTTCCAGACTAAGGGTTGCTACTAAAAAAAATTGACAGAAAAATTGATTTTTTGATTCGACCCGAGTTGACGCCATCTATTTTATATGGAGAAATATCTCCCTCTCAGGGGCAAGGATGAGTTAGGTCGGATTTGCACTGATTACAATTCAACGTTGTTTCACTTTAGTCGCATATTGGCAGGGCCACAGAAACACTTCCTGTCAGCATCGGCCGCCCCATGGCAGCCACACTTCGAGAGAGGATAAATTCCCCCCACGACCAATATACCAACAAAACAGTCAGTTTTACAAAAATTAAAGCTTTTTTAGGTTGTTACTTATACTGCGCAGCATCTTTAAACATTTTGAAAAGTACCCCTATCGTTACAAAATGATTGTAATAACTTTATTCTTACGTTAATTTCTGTTAGCGCGTTATTTTTTTTATTACACCATCGTAAGTTACACATGCTAATAAGATAAGATATATTGTACTGTAGGCTTTATTACAGCGTAGACGTTCAAAATGTTGAGACATCCAAAATACGTGTATGGCCCGGATATGCATCTTATACCGGCTAAATTAAATTTAGGTGATTTGCTTATTCGAAGACTAAGCGAACATGGAAATAAGATTGCGATGGTGAGTTACTTCTTTTATTTCCCCATAACTTGTGGTTTTTAAATTAAAAGTTACCTAAAGTTGAAGCAACTGCTTGATTCTTAATGATTTACTAAGAATACAAAAAAAAAAAAAACTTGTGTTTATTATTTTTAATGGAGACGGACACTTAAAGTTGTTTTTTTTTAATCAATGACATTTTTTTTAAATATGCTTACGTCTACCTTGTACGAAAAAATCATAGAATACTAACGCCACGTCAATTTGGTAATCCATTTCAACGTTTTAAAAAAAACAAAAAAAATTTATTAATGTACTTTGTGTAAAAGAAAAAACCAAAGCTCCTACGTACCAATAGAACTCGTCCGCCCAAAAATTAATTAAAAATCTTATTAGTGATCAATGATTTATGACGTATAAAGCTATTTTTTGTACTATGTAGTTTTTTTAAATATATTTGTATATTGTTTATTTGTATTTCGCGTTGTATAATGTATTGCGTTGTGACTTTAATGGTTTAATTTTTCAAATTATAATTCATGGAAAATTATAGAAAACTAAATACACAATGGTAATATAAAATTAACTAATTTAGATAATCTAGCCGATACACTGTTCTAATGGACAGTTTCAGGTTTTGGTTTCGATTCTCGAATGAGACAAATATTTGTGTATGGTGTAGCTTCCAAACAATTGTTCTGGGTCTGGGCTAGGAAATGTTTGTGCAAATAATTGTTTATATCCGTCTTCTACTCACTTTTTCATAAAATTAAGCTTTTTATAAAAAAGTGAGTAGCCCACTAGTACACTATGTCTTAGCAACGACTAAATAAGATTTTATATGAAGATAGTAAGCCCGCTTTTACTTTATATAAAACGTAAATTTTTGAACCTTTTGAATAGATTAAGAGAAATATTACAAGCTCCAGGTTACAATTATAATGTCGTCAAAATAGTTACGTATATTAAAATCTTAATTCCCCATATATTTTCTTCCTCTGGAATTTTTAAATCGATTCATCTCGACGAAAATGATGACTACATTTAGGTATAAATATGTTTTACAGGAATATATAATAAATGAGGCACACTGTGTAATTACACTCGCAGTCTGTAATTACACTCGCCCTATTTTCTCTTCATACCGCAACACAGCAGTGCATAATATATGTTCTTGGCGGTAAATATGTAAGAGGGAGGGAGGTCTACCTGTCTAGACGGATTCCCAGACAAGAAAAGCAAAAAAGTGCCAGAAAAGGACTCTTATCACATAGTACTTTTTGACACTATCGACTTGTTTCCAATTTAGTGATTTCTTATATTTACGAGAATTTGTATAAAATATATATAAGTAAAATATAAAAGTTTTTCTTCGGTTTACTCTTTAAATTGACGGTTGGGGGGTGGAAAATCAAAGTTTTCTTGTCCATTGTAATTTATCGAATAAATTGTGATTCACAGTGATTATCTTTCTTATTTACATTACTTTTGATTAATTTTGTTACAGTCAGGTTGGACAAAAAATTTAAATAGGTATTAGACATAACACAACAAGATTATGCTTTTTGAAATATTTTTTTATAGGATAGGGTGACAAACGAGCACACAGTCCAGCTGATTATAAGTGGTTGCTGTGGCCCATAGACATCTACATCTATCTCCGTTTGTGAATCAAAATGCAGATGTGTTGTCACCCGTAAGGACTAAGATGGAATGCCTCGTTTCCAATAAAAAGGGTCGCCGGTTCTCAAGGTCAGACCAATAGTTATTGAGTTATTCTTAAATAACTTATATTGAAATCGCTTATATTGAAGTCGGCTGTACAAAATTTTTAATTTTTAATTATTATTAGGCCTATTCAGGCGTTGGCGGCATCGGACATCTGTGTCTACCACTGCGTTACAGCGTATAAGCATAGAGAGGCTACAAGATGAAGGTGTGAAAGAGAAGAATAAATATAGACTGAGGGAAAATATAAGTGGTTTGAATGAATTATGTATGAGTGATTTAGACTTAAAGACTGTATGGAATAATGTTAAGAAAGTTTTGGTGGATGCATCCACCGAAGTATGTGGTGTAAGTAAGAGAACGAATGAAAGGAAAAATTATACGTTATGGAGGGATGTCAATGGAAGTTGAAGCAAAGAAGAGGGAATGGCTAGATTTACTAGCAACCAAAGCTAGTAATTCTGGCTGTATGAATGATGAGATTGAAAGAAAAAAGGAGAGATGAAAGAAGATGTAGATGAAATAATGAAATCAATGAAAAGCATGAAAGCAGGTAAGGTAGCCGGATATGATAGAGTATCACTCTAAATGCTAAGGGCTGGGGAGGGAGTGGGGGCAGGCCTGCTGTACACCTTGTTTTATTTATGTTGGGAACTAAAGCGGGTACCGGAAGACTGGTGCAAAGCCGTTATAGTCCCAATATATAAGGGAAAGGGGTTACAGCAGGACTGTAAAAACTACCGTGGTATCAGCTTGCTTAGCATTGTGGTTAAACTGTATGCTAAAGTGTTAATTGAAAGAGTTATGGAAGAAACTAATGGAGAAGTTTGGGATGTACAAGCTGGATTTAGAAAGGGAATGGGATGTACGGATCAAGGCTTTTCCATGTGCATGATTGGGGAGAAGTTTTTGGTCAAAAACCAGAAAGTTTTTTTGTGGGTTGATGCACTTGGAAAAGGCTTATGACAGAGTGGACAGGAATGTGTTATAGCAAACACTGAACTCATTTAGATTGAGTGCTGGTTTGATACAGGCATTAAGGTCTCTTTAAAGGGACTCTAGTGCTTGTGTCAGGATCAACGGGGTCAGAGTCAGGGGAGTTGATTGAGCAAGTGGGTTAGTTTGTATATTTGGGATGTATATTTAACAGGGATGGTAGATATGGTAAGGATATAAAACGAGTGAACGCAGGAAATAGATTGAATGGGGCTGTACGCGCTATTATGAAAAGTCAGAATGTGTCAAAAAAGACACGTATGGCAATTCATAATGCTGTGTTAGTTCCTACTTTAATGTATGATAGTAAAAGTTGAGTCTGGCAGAAGAAGCATGAGAGTAGAATAAATGCTGTAGAAATTCGGTCATTAAGTAAGTATGCTAGGGTTGAATCTGAATGACAGGGTGAGAAATAGTGTGATAAGAGAAAAGTGTGGTTTGCAAGATGACGTTGTGACCAGGATTAAGAAAGGAATGCTTCGGTGGTTTGGTCATGTAGAAAGAATGAATGAGGAAAGAGTGACAAAGCAAATTTATGTTGCAGAAGTGCACGGCAGAGTCGAGAAGGGACGCCCTAGACGAAGGTTGACCAAATTGGCGATATATTGAAAATGGGCCAGATTAGGAGTACCCTTAACCGACGAGCCTTTATGCGTAGATATATGGATATAAAGGAGGCCAGAGAGGTGTGTCAGGATCTTGCCAAATGGAAGTCCGTAGTCTCTGCCTACCCCTCTGGGTGACAGGTGTGAGTGTTTGTTTGTGTATTATTATATATTGTATTTTTGATTGACAGGACAACCTGAAACTCTTATTGAAAAAATGTGGGATAAGAATTGGTTAATATTATCGATCAGGTTCGAAATTATAAAAGGTACTATTTCAACACTGGTTTGCAACGAAATCCTTCTTTAAATTGAACATGTTATAGAGAAAAAGTGTTATGTAGAGGAGCCCATAATGATAAATAGGGATTTACTCGAGCGTCGTTCAGACCTATTAGATTTTGTAGATTAGTTGAATGGAAGAAAAAAAGATATATAATATTTCTCCTTCCAGTGGTGGGGGAAGCGTCTACAGGTTTTCAAAAATGTAAAAACTACCACAGATGTTCAAAAATTAATTCTAGCGCGTCAGATATTCAATGGGATGTTAACTGAACCATAAAAATGCTCTCATTCAAAAGACTGACGATTCGGAAGTGACGGAAGCATTAACGAATTTTTGAAAATGCAAATAAATCGTCATATTGAAATATTCAAGCGTGTCTGACTTTATATAGAAGGTTTAGCTTGAGTTTCCAGCCATGGTAGCTTAAAATCATGTCATGTTATATTATTTTGAGGTATATAATAATCTGACTGCTAGAAATAAGAAAATATATGAATTTTTTTCTCAATAACCAAAAAAATGTTAATCAGTGGGGGTAGCACAAGAGAGTTCTGTCTCTCTCCCTTTCACTTTTTTTCTATACAGAGATAGGGCGCGGAAAATGTGGTACACTCCAGCTGCACGCTCTTATCTTCATAGACGATTTTTAATAGTTCGGCTTGCGAATATCGGCAAATTATGTTTTTATTTTGTTATATTTGCATTATTCCCTTCAAAATAAGAATAAATTCAACCATGCACGGAAATGTCAAGACAACGTTCCCTTTTTGCAACTTTGTAACCCTGGGAGGGTTACAACTCCGCTTAAGTTACGCTCAAATCATCAGATTTTATAAAAGCACTCGTTTTAGCTCGTAATTAACTCACCTTACCTTAACCTGACGCACTTCAGTAAATCCAAATAATGCCGTCTTGAGCTCCACAAATATTATTTGTTTGTGGTAAAGTTTTAAATAATAAACATTTTTCCTTATTACAGCGTTTCCCACGTATTTGAATCTCCTAATAATATGTATAAAAATTATTATACAAACTGGTCATTACACTTGAAAAAAAAAACATATTGTAGTTGTTCCTATAATATATAAAATAAAATAAAATATATTATAATAATGTAATGGTACTTTGTATTTTTCATTTTCATGTTTCCATGAGAGATTCGCATAAAGTTGATCAACAAAAAATATGCAAATATTGCGTGTGACTATTTTTCTTTATTATATTGTTTGTCATATGGCATCTTAATGGAATCTATCGCCATATTTATTAATTTATTTATCCTTTATTGCAACTACTAGGGGTTACAAAGGGCGGACTTAATGCGCTATGGCATTCTCTACCAGTCAACCCGACGAAAAATGGAATAAATAAAGATGTTGGCAGGTGCAAGTTAAGGACAATAACAA